ATCATATGCTAAATAAAGATATGAATTACTATGCAGAACAATATGTTTACAAATTAAAATTATTTTATATATTTGCAAAGCTATAAACACATAGGTACACAATATCTATGCATCCTCATAGGCTGTTAAATATATATTTTAAAACAACTAGTCACTCATGCACACATGCACAATGTAAGGTCCACCTCTCATCCCTTAATTGTGTTCCCATATAAAGCAAACCAGCAAACAAAAATTCACCCTACACATCTTAAACATCACTGAACAAAACTGCCTTTTAAGTATAGTAAAATTATTTATCTCTTATCATCTTGTAGTATTAGGAAATTTCAGTTAATTAAACGCAACAAGAGGGTATAATGATTTTAACTGAGTATTTCTACTTATTATTGGAGAAAAGGAATTTCCCTCATGTAATCTTTATTTTATAAACATTTATGGCTTAGTGCTATAGTTTATTCTCCCAAAAATTTTTCTTGTCATTTTGCATCCCTTAAGATAGAGACAAAATATAAACTGTACTAACATCAGAACACTGACAATCATAATGTACCTTTCTGGATTCTTGTATACAGGGAAAAATTGTTCTGCTCCAGTACTCCAATACCTAGAAAAATTAAAGTAATTCTTACAAAATTAACACCTAGATAAACCATAATTTCAGTTGCTTACTTTGAAATACAAAATTTAAAATTATTTTAAACTGGAACAATCTGAAATAAAAATGATCTTTAAAACAAATATTTTTAAAGCCATTAGCATAAAACTTCACCATCTCTTATAGTATTTGATTTAACCACTTTCAAAAATTAATTTGTTTTTCTAAATATTTTTTTCTTAAATCGTGTCTTTGAATCATGAAATCATAATACATCTCTCTCTGTGTGTATTATATATACACACATATTTAACACACAGACAAAAAGAAACAAATATTTTCTACAATTATTCTGTTACTTATAATTTTGAAAAGTTCAGAAGAACCGTATTATCTTGGGGTTCAGATATATACATTAAAAAGAGAATTCTAATCCTCATTATTATGAAATGTTTCAAGGCATTTCCAGTCATTACAGTGAAAAGTTCCCTTATAATCTTTCAATAATACACTTACAAGGAATAAGAACTATTGTTTTTAACACAGTGGCCATCAGGACAATGCAAATGATTCCCAGGACCTCAGCAGTGAGCTTCTCTGGAGGTGGCAGTAAACCTGCAGGGAGAGAAATAGAGGCACTGAGAGAGGGGAGATAGAGAGTTGATGAGGTTTACATATAAGAGAACCCACATGCACAGGGAAA